TGCTCTGACTGAGGGCTGCTGGGAGCAGGGGGTGAGGCTTGCTGCATGTGCCCACCCCCTGGGCTCTTTACTGCCGGAGCGCCGCTCCTGTGCGCTCCTGCAGGAAATGACCCCTGGTGTAAGGGCAGCCTCATGCTAGGTTTTTTGTAACTGTTTTCTGTAAGCCCTTCCACCCTGTCATGGGTCCTGGCTCCGCTGAGGCTGACTATTCCTCAGCCGGGGAAGAGGCACGGAGCAACCCAGCCTCCTCGGGAGTCAGCCCAGAAGAGGAACCGTTACTAGCACCTGAGGGAGAAGAGGCCCCGGCGGCTGCACAGGAGGGGCAGCAAGGCGAAGAGCCTGAGGTGCAGTCGGAGGAAGAGCCCGGTCCAGAGCCTGGCCCAGCACCCCAAGTTGGAGACAGCTCAAGGCCAGAGTCCCCACCCTAGCTCACCCGAATGTCCCAGACATAGGGCACGCCAGCGGCTGGATGTACAAGAGAGAAGGAGGAGGGCCAGACTCCAGCTGTTGCGAAGGCAACGTGAGGGGCTGTGAGTCTTTGCAGACTGACTCCCAGGGAAGGGAGGCTCCGTCATAAGCAACCAACCTCACCTGCCCCAGTGCGGATGCAACCGTGCGTTCTTGGGCCTTGTCCCAGCTGCCGGCCTCCGCTCCTTGCTCCTGAAAACTCTGACTGATTTCCTGGCATTCTGACCCTCGGCTCTGTTTCTCAGCTTGCTTTTGGACTGTGTATCCAGCTTTCAGGGAAGTGTATCTGTGGCGACCGGCCAAACCCAGCATACACCCAAAATTCCTCAGCTGGGGCTTGGTTGAGGACTTTTGACAGGGACCACGTTTGGTTCTCCACATGTTTTTGAGGCCTCCAGGTTGGATGACAGCTCCTCCTGTTCCCAGTACTGGCAACAGGAAGAGTCAGCGTCCCGCTCAGAATCCTCAAAAGTCGGCAGGGACGCATCCTGAAGTCTGGCCAACAAGCAGCCATGCGGAAAACGACGGAGCCAAGCCAGAAGATGTCTATACTGGGCAGTGATGGCGCGTGCAATTAAAAATGAATGTATGTTGTCTTCCCTATCCCCTACAAACATTGTTAGTCCCTTGTCTATACTGAGTAACTGTATATCGCTTTGAGCCCACTGGGGAAAGCGATTAATAAATGGAAAGTATCATCATCATCATCATCATCATCATCATCATCATCATCTATGGCCCTTGAGCTGAAAGATTTGCCCGTCTCCATTTGTGAGGCTTTTCTGCAATGGACATCTCCCCCCTCCCCATGTCACCCGATGTCACAGGCTTACCTGTGCTAACCTTCAAGCTAGCTTCTTTGCTCATGTTTACAAGCTGGACGATGATGTGGTATTTCCCCCCCGGCTCCAGCTTCTTGATGGTATACTCCACGGTGCTGTTTCGTGTTTTCACCTTGTAGTTCCTGTCTGTTTTTCTTATTAAATCTTTCACTGAAACAGCATACAGCTAAGAAAAGCAAATAAATAAATAAGTGTGTGTATATCTATCTATCTATCTATCTATCTATCTATCTATCTATCTATCTATCTATCTATCCACCAATCAGCTTCCATATGCAAAAGACCAGGTTGTCGCAGCAGTTGTGGTGTGGGCGGGACCCGGGCTTTGCCTTCTGATTGGTGGCGATATATGCTGAGGAGCAGTGCCATCAGCCATACACTAAGGGAGTGCATTTTAGAATTAGAACTTTGGCACCCACTATTCAATTATATATAAGGAGAGAAAGCTATGACTGTGCTTTTCAGCCCAAAAAAATCCATGCTCGAAACTGCCTGATAATCTTACCAAATCTTGGTCGGGAGAATCATAAGGCGACTCCCATTTAATGACAGCAAACGTTTTCCCCGTGTGCACGGTGTGGAGGTGTCGTGGAGGGAGGCGATTGTCAGGAATCATCTTCACAACGATGTAGTCAGAAGGGGGTCCTTGGTATGGAGACACCACTCGTACCTTGAGAGGGACACAGAGGGGTAGCCATGTTAGTCTGTCTGTAGCAGCAGGAGAGAGCAAGAGTCTGGTAGCACCTTAAAGGTAAAGGTTCCCTTGCTCGAAAGCCAGCCGAGTCCGACTCTAGGGTTGCGGTGCTCATCTCTGTTTCAAAGCCGAAGAGCCAGCGCTGTCCGAGGACGTTTCCGTGGTCATGTGGCCGGCATGACTAAACACCAAGGCGCACGGAACGCTGTTACCTTCCCACTGAAGTGGTACCTATTTATCTTCTTGCATTTTCTTGCTTTCCAACTGCTAGGTTGGCAGGAGCTGGGGACAGAGACGGGAGCTCACTCTGTCATGCGGCACACTTGGGTCTCGAAAAGTGAAAAGATGGAAGGCATCAGCAAGCCATCCCCAGCAGATCCCGGGGGGGATAAAGGGAGGCATAATTTCTGTGGCACCGCAGGGCACGGACTGAGGGGGGAAAACAAAGGCACCTGCCCCAAGGAACTTACAACACAAGTATGTGATCAAATCAAGAGACAATAGCCTACGCCGTCTTTGTCTGGGGGAAGGGAGGAAAATTAAAAGTAACACTCCTACCAAAAACAAATATTGCTCATCTCTGTTGACAATGACAGTGATGTTGTGTAGCGTGGTGTTAGCACTCCTGGGGTTCCGGTACAACTCTAGGAAAGATGTGGCATAGAAGACACCGTACACCTGCCAAGAACAGAAAGCAAGAGGGAAATGAAAACTTATTGTTATGCTTAGTTTTTATTTATACCCTGCTTATCTCCCTAAGAGGGACCCAAAGTGGCTCGCCACATTATTCTCCCCTCTTCCATCTTATCCTTGTAACAACCAACTTAGGAAGTAGTTTAGGCTGAGACTGTCCAGGGTTTCCCAGTGAGGTTCTATAGCAGAGTGGAGATTCGAACCTGGTTCACCCAGATCCTAGGGGGTTTCCACACAGGGATGGGATTGTGTGGTTTTCTGGTTGCCAGTGCAGCTGCTCAGAAGAGCAAAGATGAACACTTATTAACAGCAGGAGGTTTGTAACCTTTGAGAGCCACAGATTCCATTTGAGATATGAGCTGTGCCTACATTACTGTGGGAATTGGGTTCCATTTTCAGCCGTACAACTGTAGAAGATTGCTTTGAAACGTCTGGAAGGACGCTTTCGGCTGTTAGAAGTTTACTTGTGCTTTGGGACATCCTCTGCCTTTTTTGTGGACTTTTGAGGTCTTTTGGACACTATTATATTCAAAGGATATAGAGGAGTCTCTTGTTGGATATTTTCCACGATCATCAAATTGGTATTTTGAATCTGCAAACAGTGTTTTTGAATTGTGACCACCAATTATAGTGTATCTTCAATTTATTGTTATTGTATCGCAACAGACGGATCTCTACTGTTTACTTGTGAAAGTTGTGTATCTTTTGATGGTCTACCCTTGCCGTTTATATTTTTGCGTAAGAGCAAAGAGGCAACAAGGCCTCCAGATGGTGGGTTTCTCCACAGTTTTTCTGCCCCAGGTTCCCAGTAGTGGCCATCCCCCCCTTCCCTGGGTGACTGGGGCATTTGCAGGTGGGTTGTTTTTTTTTTTAAATCACTACTAGAATCACATTATATCAACACAGTATAACAGTAAGTGTAACAGGTTCTCTGAATTCCCAGCTTTCTTTCTTTTCTTTTCTTTTTAAAGTAAGTCTCTAGTCTCTTCCATTGCAGGGAGATGTCTTTTCCCTTATTTAAGAGCATCACTTATTATCATAAGCCTTTTTTTTTACAATGAAGAAACCTTAACAACTGAATCTCTGGCATCCTTCCCACACAATTATGTTACCACGAACATCACGTAACAGAACGAAAATTTGTCTTTTGCAAGTTTCGCAATGGGAAGACCAGAAAAGAATCCTTACCACGTTCCTCGGGCCAGTCCAGTTACACTCAACAGCCGTCTGATTGACAGGCTTGGCTTTCAGACTGGGAGCGGGTGGTCTTGTACCGCTGGTCATCACATGTGCAAAAGACAGAGGACTGTCACCCAGTTCGGTCTTGGCCCAAGCCGAAATCTCGTACGGCGTCTGAGCAGTCAAGTTACTCACTAAAAATGAAGAAAATTTTTGGGCTAAATAGGGATGCCTGGAACTCCCTTCCCCCAAATGTTTTGTTATGCATCCCCCCAGCAAGAATTCTTTGTGCTTATTTTAAATACAAGACAAACTGTTCTATTAGGAAACTTCAAAGATATCACATGAATTATTGTATTGCTTCATAGCTGTAGCTCTCAAAGTGGTGTACAAAACAAAATACAGACTAAAAATACATATCGGTCATTTAAAAAAGTCTACTGAGATCAGTACAAACAATAAAACTGACAAACAATGCAATCAACAGAGCAATAACAGCAACAATAAGCACTAACAGCAGCAGCAGTAAACTTCTAAAATGAGATACAGCGTCTCAAATAATATATAATAAATACATTACAAAAAGCCACTGATAAATTGAATTGACAAAAGCAGAAAAAATTCTGGAGCAGATAATGGGTTAGATAAAAATGCTGGCAGCAGATAAAACAATCAAAACAGCAGTATAAAGTCGATCTGGTGGCTGTTTCCCTCAAATGATAGTTTTAAATGCCATATTAAATGCCAAATACCAAGAGAATAAAAACAAATTAAGTGGTCAGTTGATATGCCACTAGAATTGCCTACCTTAAGGTGGGACCTGGAGATCTTCTGGAATTACAACTGATTTCCAGACTACAGAGATAACTTCCCCTGGAGAAAATGGCTACTATGGCATTATACTCTGCCGAGGTCACTCTGTTCCCCAAACCGTGCCCTCCCCAGGCTCCACTCCAGGAAATTCTGAACCTGGAGTTGGCAACTTTATATGCCACTGATACATCCTACTCAGGTGGCCACTCTTCAAGGTCTCAAGCAGAAGTCTGTTTTAACTCAGTTGCCTGAATTTCTTTTTCACTAGCGAGTGGAGTGATTTCAGATGCCGAATGACAACAGCAGGCAAATGACAATAGCAGGTGAATGACAATAACAGGTGTGATTGCATGAGGTGTGATATGCAGAGGGGTAAGTAGATGTGGAGAAATCAGTATTGGTGATGAGTCAGGAAACCTAGGTCTCGATTCAGTCCAGGAGGATGCACTGTCTTGAGCTTTATTATCAGTTGCAATTCAGCAGTCTCTCTTTCTAATCTCCCTTTGAAAATCCTTTGTAAGAGAACTGCTACTCTTAGGGCAGCAACTGCATGACCTGGAAGGTTAAAATGTTTTTGAAAGTTGTGGTTTCTAATGTCACAGATATTGTGAGGACGTTCTCCCTGGTTTTTGAAAGTTGTGGTTTCTAATGTCAGACTTATGTTCATTTGTTCTTTGTCATACGGTCTTGTGCCAACTTAGAAATACGTGACTCCGCCAGCAAAATGTCTCAGCAAAGCTCTCCCGAAACCCAGGCTCTCACACCTTTTCAGACAACGACATCTTACATGGGTTGCTCTTAGCTAAAAGGTTATTCCGTCGAAAAGACTCACCTGTTTGTACAGACTTCCCCCCCTCTATGTACAACATTCTCTTTTCTTGTCTGTGTGTGTCGAAGGTCCAGAAAATGTTCACGACGTAACCATACACCTGTCAGCCAATAGCACAGAAATAATATTAATAGCAATGACAACAATAGTGCTAAGCCACTAAAAAAAAAAGAGAGTAAGAAGAGATGAGCCCTGCCCACAGATATTGTGAGGAGAGACAGGGCACAGAAGGAAGGAAGGGAAAGGGAGAGGCAGAAATTAGAGGTCAAAACCTTGATAGGAGAGGGACGTTCTCAGGGAACGGCAAGGGAAGAGGCACGGGCGTGAGAGAACAGGAGCGGCAAGAGAAAAAGGATGGCAGAACAAAATGCAAGTCGATCCAAAGTTTAGCTGAGACCATTTCCACAGCAGTGAAATTCCCCGTATTGACATTTTTAAAACTGTGCATTATGTGAAATTTTCCACAGTAGATTTTTTCTTATCCAGCGCAAACCCCAAGTTTTCTCCTTACCCCACGTTTTTGGGGACTCGCTAAAACTGGGGATTCCAAAAATGCGGGGTACGGAGAAGAAAACTTGGGTTTGCGCCGGGTGAGGAAAAATCTACTGTGCAGAATGTCACATTAACGGGCAGTTTTTAAAACATCAACGCGGGGAATTTCACTACCGCAGAAATGGTCTTAGAGGGAAGTATTAACAGCTGAGGCAACAAGGAGGCCAAAAACGAGGAAGAAGAAGAAAGACAGGTTGCTTACCTGTAACTGGTGATCTTCGAGTGGTCATCTGTGCATTCACACCCTTGGGAATACTGCGCCTGCGCTGAACCTTCTCGGTACCGGTAGCTAGCAAAAGGGATTTTCGCGCCTCTCCCAGGTCACGCGCCGGCTCCACTGCGCATGACCAAGGAGGGGCACGCAGATCCCGCCAGTTCCTTCTGACCGCCGCCCAACAGCCTTCAAAGAAACAAGATGAAGGGCCGAGAGCAGAGGGGAAGGAGGGCGGGTGGTGTGAATGCACAGATGACCACTCGAAGATCACCAGTTACAGGTAAGCAACCTGTCTATCTTCTTCGTGGTCTCTGTGCATCACACCCTTGGGAGAATAGCAAGCAATAACTCTTACCTGGAGGAGGGGCCGAGGCCCTACACCTGCGCCGTCTGCAAAATAGACCGACCCAACGCCACACGACGAGTAGACCGGACATCCAGGGCATAATGCTTCACGAAGGTGAGCGGAGTAGCCCAAGTCGCAGCGTTGCAGATGTCCTCCAATGGCATCCCTCTCAGGAAAGCTGTGGAAGCCGCCACCGCCCTTGTAGAGTGGGCGCGAAGTTGACCTGGAAGAGGTCTCTTAGCCAAAGCGTAACATAGCTTGATTACTTCCACAATCCACCTGGACAGCGTCTGGGAAGAGATCTTCTTCCCTAGGGAGGGCATACTGTGAGCAACAAACAAGGCTGGAGACTGACGAAAAGACTTGGTCCTGCCCAAATAGAACAGCAACGCCCTCTTAACATCCAGAGAGTGCAATTTCCGTTCCTCTTCATTGGCAGGAGACGGGAAAAATGACGGCAAAACTATATCTGAACGTAGATGAAACTCCGAAACGACTTTCGGTAAGAAGGAGATGTCCAAAGACAACGACACCCCATGAGGGGAAAAAATCAAGTATGGTGGATCACACCTTAAAGCAGACAACTCACTGACTCGACGAGCAGAAGTAATGGCCACCAGAAACGCAGTCTTGAGCGATAACAACTTTAGAGAGCAAGTGGCCAGTGGTTCGAAGGGTTTTCCCATCAAAAACCGCAAAACTAAAGCCAAATCCCAGGCCGGAGTCGGAGAACGACGGGGAGGGTACAGGCGAATAAGACCTTTACAAAACTGTTTCGTCTGAGGATGCGAGAAAACTGAAAACCCATCAATAGATGGATGAAAAGCTGACACCGCAGCTAAATACACCTTAACTGAAGAAAAACTGAGTCCCAAGTCCATTCTGGACAAAATAAACGCAAAAATAGACCTCAAATCCACTGGCGGAGGAGGTAAATTGGAAGAACTCAAGTACTGTAGGAATAAATCCCACTTCTTTGCGTAAGACGTCCTAGTAGACAGTTTACGACAATTCAACAGGACCTCATTGATACGGTCATCCATCACTGAAAGCGTATTTCCCATAGAGTCAACTTGAGACTCAGAGGATCGTAGTGAAGGACCTGGCCTTCCTGAGCTTGGAGGAGATCCAACTCCTGCGGGAAGTGTACGAAGGATCCCTTGGCTAACCGCAGCAGTGTCGGAAACCACACCTGCCGAGGCCACCAGGGGGCTACCAGGAGACAATGGGGCTTGTCCTGTTGTATTTTCACAAGCACCCTGTGGAGCAGCGGAATCGGAGGAAATAGGTATAGAAAGTCGTGAGCCCACGACATCAACAGACCGTCCCCCATTGACAGAGGGTCCAACCCCGCTCTGGAGCAAAACCTGGGACACTTCTTGTTCAATCGAGTTGCAAAAACATCGATGTGGGGATGTCCCAGATGTTGAAAAAGAGGAAGGAGATACTTTGAGTTCAACTCCCATTCGTGGTCCGATGCTCCCCCTCTGCTCAGGAAATCCGCTTGTTGGTTCAAAGTTCCTGGCAGATGGGCAGCTTGGAGAGTGATGTTCCAATGAAGGCACTCTTCCCATATGTCCATAGCTAGCCTGCAAAGGGACCTGGACACGGTCCCGCCCTGGCGATTGATATAAGCCATCGCAGTTGTGTTGTCCGTAAAAATCAACACAGCTTTTCCTACAACCTGTCTGAGTAAGGATCTGAGGGCAAATTTTACGGCCAGCAGTTCCAGATAGTTGATATGATGACTCTTCCAAAGGGGTTGCCATGGAGCACCCACACAAGTGTCGTCTGTATGAGCACCCCAACCCCACAGGGAGGCATCTGTGGTGATGGACATTACGGGAACGATCGGTTGGAACGGTGCACCCGCCAACAGATTGGTGTCCACGAGCCACCACTGCAGGGAGACGAGGACCTGCGGAGGCACTACCAGTTGAAGGCTCGGAGGATGGATGGAAGGGCGAAATTTCTTTAGAAACCACAGCTGCAACGGGCGCATGCGAAGGCGTGCATATTCGATCACGGAAGTGGTGGCTGCCATGAGACCCAAGATCCGCTGAATGTGGACCGCTGATGTCACGTTGGACTGGAACAAACGTTGAATTTCCAGACGAATGGTATCTGCCCGTTGGCGAGGAAGGTACGCCCGAGTGGCTAGGGAGTCTATGACAGCTCCTATGAACTGCACGCGAGTTGCAGGTTGCAGCATGGATTTCTGTAAATTCACCAGAATTCCAAGGGAGGATAGGACCGACAATGTGATGGTGATGTGCTGAAGGAGACATTCTCTTGAATCTGCCACCATCAACCAGTCGTCTATATACGGAAAGATCTGAATGCCCTGAAGGCGAAGATGAGCGACGACAACCACCATTACCTTCGTAAAAACCCTGGGGGCGGTAGAGAGCCCGAATGGAAGGGCTTTGAATTGGTAATGGTCCTCCCCGACTGCGAATCTGAGGAACTTTCTGTGACGAGGATGGATGGAGACGTGAAAATAAGCGTCTTTGAGATCTAAAGTGACCATCCAAGTCCCTGGAGACAGGAGTGGTAAAATGCTTTGCAACGTGGTCATGCGAAACTTTCTGTAAATGATGAACCGATTGAGAAAACGAAGGTCCATGATTGGACGAAGTCCTCCGTCCTTCTTGGGGACCGTGAAATATTTGGAATAAATCCCGCGGCAACAATCCGCCATCGGGACTTTCTCTATAGCGTTTTTTTGTGTCAGCGATTGTACCTCCTGTAGCAGGGCAGGAGACGCCGGGGTTCTGATAAAACGGGAGATTTTGGGAGTCAGAGAAAACTCTATGAGATAGCCATCTCTTATTATAGAGTGCACCCATTTGTCCGTAGAAATGGCGAGCCATGCGTGCAGGAAGGGTGCAAGGCGAGTCTGAGCAGTAAGGTTGAAGTCAAAGTCCCTGTTTGGGATTCTTAGGGAATTTCGACTTATAGGCACCGGACGATTGTCCCTTATTTTTCGGGGGAAAAGACCGTGACTGAGAGGGAGGTCTTTGCCATTGATCCGTAGGTGATTTGTTGTACGGTTGCCTGGTCGACCAAGGTTGCCTAGGCCACTGCTTGGATTTCGAGTATTTGGTCGTGGGGGAGATCCCCAAACTCTTGGACGTCTTGATACTCTTATCCATTTCCTGCAGAACCGTGTCAGTGGTGGAGCTAAACAATCCAGAACCTTCAAAGGGAAGGTCTTCCACCGAGGATCTGGTGTCATATGGCAATGATGAAGAGCGGAGCCAGGCATGTCTGCGTAACGCTACAGAGGTTGCTAGAGTCTTACTAGCGGATTCCAGGGAATGCTTGGCAGCACTAATTTGGTGTCTAGCCAAGACCATCCCTTCATTCTGAATCCTTTTAATCTGAGGTTGGCACTCTTTGGGCACGTGCGGGAGGAAATCATTCAAACGCTTCCATAAATTGAATTGATAACGGCCCATGCAGGCGGCATAGTTCGCCGTTTTAATGCCCATTGCACCGACAGTGTAGAATTTTCTACCAACCGAATCCAACTTTTTTCCTTCTTTGTCTGATGGAGTAGAGTGGCTCGCTTTTCCTTTCGTGGACGAGGAAACGACCAAAGAATTGGGCTTAGGATGTGTGTATAAAAACTCAGCCCCTGATTCCTGGACCTTGTACATGTGATCCAGACGCTTATTAGAGACATTAATGGAGGCTGGACGAGTCCAAAAGTCCTTGGTAGTTTGCAAGAGAACTTTTGTCATTGGTAGAGCCACGGAGGGCGAAGTGTTAGAGTGCATAATGTCAAAAACGTTATCATCCACAAAACTGGCAACGAGAGTAGGAGTCATAGATAGATCTAATGCCATGCGTTGAATAAAATCTCCATAAGACTTAACATCCTCTGATGGAGAAATAGGTAAATCCGCTTCCACATCTTGCGAGGTGGGCTGTGCATCTACATCCTCGATATGTTCAGAAAAGCCATCTGAATCGGAGGATACATTGGATGGTTCTGGAGATGATTCGAGTAATTCAGGTTGAGACGGTGCCGGTGTGTTAATCGGGGGCACAACCGGGTCTGGTGGATGCGTCGGTATCGACTGCTTCGATACCGATGGTCGATCTTGAAAGCGCGAAATGCGGGATGACACCGACTGACGATCCCATTCAGGTGGGGGTGGTATCGGGAGTGCCCAAGGGTATGGGTATCGATTCCCGTACAAATAATGCCATTGCCTCTCATCCCAAGTCAGGGGAGGAGAAGTTGGTCGGTGCCGATCCTCGACTCCACGTTCTGGGGAGGCATGAGAGGATTGACGGCTCGACATATCAGATTGCGACTGATTTGTCTGTTGAGTAAGGTCGATGTCGAGATCCGAACCGATCGGGTGAGGTTCTTGCGTGGGATCTCGACCCTGACTAGCCGAAACCTTATGGACTTTGGGTTTGTCCGTTTTAGGTTTCTTCGACTGCTGTGAGTCTTTGCCCTGCTTCCGGATCTTGGAAGGTACGGGGTGGTCCTTTATCGGCGTCGATCGTTTCGGTGCCGAAGCATCGATTGCGACCGTCGACGTCGATGATCCCGGAACGGGAGGACAAGTGTCCGCAGCCAAGGTGGACATCGAGGCGTGCCCGGACGTGTCCAACGGTGAAGAGGACTGTGGAGATAGTGCCTTCTCCATCAGGGCCAAGTGTAGACGAGCTGCCCTGTTTTTTCTCGTCTGGTTCGAAAACTTTCGGCAATGTCTGCACTTAGAGACACAGTGCGACTCCCCTAAACAAACGAGGCAAAGCGAGTGCCCGTCGGTGGGGGATATTTTAAGGCCGCAAGTCCTACACCGTTTGAAACAACCCCACCGCGGGGCCATAGGCCAGCGGGAGGGGAACGTAAATAAAGAACAAACACCGAAAGAAAAATGCTAACTACAAAAATAAAGAAAAAGAAACTAACTAAACGTAAGTTTAGCAAAAAAAGTTTGGTACTTAGCAGACCGAGGCAGAAGGCGTCCTACCAGCGCGGCGGTCAGAAGAGAACTGGCGGGATCTGCGTGCCCCTCCTTGGTCATGCGCAGTGGAGCCGGCGCGTGACCTGGGAGAGGCGCGAAAATCCCTTTTGCTAGCTATCGGTACCGAGAAGGTCAGCGCAGGCGCAGAGTATCCCAAGGGTGTGATGCACAGAGACCACGAAGAAGATATGTTGATTAGCAGAAACATGGGCTGACAATTTTTATTAGGGAATATAGAAGAAGGATGCACTGAAGTCATGGTCCAAATTAGGCACCTAAGAGGCAGATATTTACCCTTTTAAAAGATTTTGTTTAGTTTGATCCGGGCCATAGGCCAGCGGGAGGTGAACGTAAATAAAGAACAAACACCGAAAGAAAAATGCTAACTACAAAAATAAAGAAAGAGAAACTAACTAAACGCAAGTTTAGCAAAAAAAGTTTGGTACTTAGCAGACCGAGGCAGAAGGCGTCCTACCAGCGCGGCGGTCAGAAGAGAACTGGCGGGATCTGCGTGCCCCTCCTTGGTCATGCGCAGTGGAGCCGGCGCGTGACCTGGGAGAGGCGCGAAAATCCCTTTTGCTAGCTACCGGTACCGAGAAGGTTCAGCGCAGGCGCAGTATTCCCAAGGGTGTGATGCACAGAGACCACGAAGAAGATGAGGAAGAGGAGGAGGAGGAAGAGGAGATTGGATTTATACCCCACCCTTCACTCGGAGTCTCAGAGCGTCTTACAAACTCCTTTCCCTTCCCCTCCCCACAACAGACTCCCTGTGAAGTAGATGGGGCCGAGGGAGCTCTGAGAGAACTGCTCTTGTCAGAACTATGGCTTGCCCAAGGTCATCCAGCAGCTGCAAGTGGAGGAGTGGGGAATCAAACCCGGTTCTCCCAGATTAGAGTCCACGCACTTAACCACTACACCAAACTGAGAGGATGGGGCCAAAGCCTGGAAAGATTCTTTTTTTTTCAAAAAAGCAGAAGCTTAAATGGAAACCAGTAAGGAAATGCAAGCAAGTGAAAGGTGCGTAACCGATGAGAAACATGAGCACGACAGGATGCCGAGAAAACCAAAGAAGCATCAGAATTAGGAACTGAGGAATGATGATGAAGCTGAGAGAGAGTCAATGGGAAGAGGAACCAAGCCAGAAAAGGATCAGAGGAGAAACACTTCACAGGGCAGAAAGTGAGTCAACTTTAGAAATATTAAAAAGCAAAAAAACAGCAAGTCTGGGCAGGGCCTTGAATCGAAGGAGCCTGCAAGGACAAGAAGAATGTGTTGAACTCCTTGGGCTTTTCTGTTTGCTTGTTTCTGCTTTAACGCTGGGATCTGATGGTTCTTCTAAAGCTCCCCGCAGACGAAGGAAAATATCTGCACGTTTTCAAGACTGGGAAGAGCCGGCCTGGAAATGCAATTTGACTCTCTTCCTCCTCCGAGGCTGGAACAGTATTCCCCATACGGCAACCCCGTTTGTCTAAAAAGAGGGCCTGGTTCCAAAGCACACAGCTATCGTTCATGAACTCGTGCCACAGAAACATAAATTAGCACTGCTGAGTAAATTAAAAGTAATATAACAGGGCAGAACGCCAGGCTTTGCCTTTGATGCCAGGGAAACTTCTTATCAGATATAATAATAATAATACTATCAGATATACTAGATTCCAGAACCAGGTGTTTACACTCTCGTTTAAGGTTATTACAGATATTTTTTTTTACCCAGGGGCTGCCAACTCTCTGGTTTTTATAAACAAAACTACAGGGCTGGGCCCCACACGTGCAAGGGTTCCGGGAATGCAGATTTTTCTCACTTCCCTGTCCTACCAGGGGTCACCCGTGACCCTTGAAAACCCTACGCCCAGGGTCAAAGGAGTTGTGCTATAGGAGCTGTAGGGAACGGAGCAAAATTAGCTCCCTCCTCCTTTCCTTTATGGATACACACGGGGCTCTTTTTGTAGCAGGAACTCCTTTGCATATTAGGCCACACACCCCTAATGTAGCCAATCCTCCAAGAGCTTACAGAGCTCTTCTTACAGGGGCTACTGTAAGCTCTTGGAGGATTGGCTACATCAGGGGTGTGTGGCCTAATATGCAAAGGAGTTCCTGCTACAAAAAGAGGCCACTACACACAAGATTTCGAAAGGGAAAAAAAAAAAGAAGAAGAAGATACTTGACCAACCGGACTACATCAATAGTAATAACGGGAACTAATGAGTATAAATAAATAATGAATATTCCTGAGACCCAAACGCTCTACATTAGGAAGCTCCCTTGTTCTTTCTTTATTAATTCAATAATTCAAATATTTATATGCAGACCTTCCCGCTGACCCCAGCAGCTCTTGCATTTGCGATTCGTAGGATTCAGCTCAAAGCAATTGCATGTAAGATTTTGTAGGGCGTTCGAAAAATGAAACTTTTCCAATGCTCGGGTTTTATATGGTAGGTCACTGACGCAATATCGTTCCTTGGGTACTTGGCTTGATTTGGGTCGTTTCAAAGGGCAGCCGTGCTGGTCTGCGGTAGAACTGCTGGACTGGAGTCCAGTAGGACCGTGGAAACCAACAAGGTTTTCGGGGTGTGAACGTGGTGTGAACGTTCGAGACCGCGAATCTCTCGAAAGCTCACACCTCAAAAATCTTGCTGATCTCCAAGTTGCCACTGGACTCAAATCCATCTTATTTGGGTTTCCACACAGTCACAAACATATCATGCTACCTGCATATCCGCTTCCATTTTTAGGGTGAAAGTTATGGAATCTTCATTGTAACCCTCAACGTGGACCGTCGGTGGTGGAATCACTGAGATGGAAAAGAAAGAAAGAGAAAAGGCATCAGCCCCATGACTGAGAACGCTGAACGACTGCAGTGAAGGTAGATCAAGATGGGTAGCCATTAGGGCTGCCAAGCCAATGGAATCTTCATTGTAACCCTCAACGTGGACCGTCGGTGGTGGAATCACTGAGATGGAAAAGAAAGAAAGAGAAAAGGCATCAGCCCCATGACTGAGAACGCTGAACGACTGCAGTGAAGGTAGATCAAGATGGGTAGCCATTAGGGCTGCCAAGCCACGGCGGGGGATCCGTGCGTCTTCACAGGATCCCTGCCGCGGGGAACAGCGATACGCGTTCCACCGCCGTCGCCAGGATGTGACGCGTAGCGACGGCGGTGCAACGCGTATCGCTGTCCCCCGCAACAGGGATCCTGTGAAGACGCACGGATCCCCCGCCGCGGCTTGGCAGCCCTAGTAGCCATGTTAGTCTGCCGGTAGCATCAGGAAAGAGCAAGAGTCCAGTAGCACCTTAAAGACTAACAAAATATGTGGCAGGGGAGGAGCTTTTGGGAGTCACTGCTCACTTCTTCTTCATGAGCAGTGACTTATGAAAGCTCAAACCCTTCCACAAATTATATTAGTATTTAAGATGCTGCTCTTTTCTACTGCACTGAAGACTTCCATAGCAAATTTTCTTGCTAATTCACTCTGTGTAACTGTCCATTGTTGACCATAGCACACTCTGCTAATTCACTCTGTGTAACTGTCATTGTTGACCATAGCACAAATATGCCCAAGGACACCGGGCTAAAATTAGTGGGTTGTGAGCTGTAAAAATTGGCCTCAGCAGTATCACTACAGTGGAGTTTCTCCCCACCTTTTCTTTTAAAGAACAGGAGCCTGGCGTACACAATATATCAGCTGTTCCTGAACCACGGTTAAATGACTGGGGGGGAAACACCATGGGATCGATCTCACGAGACAGACCAAGAGTCGCTGTTTTCATTCATTCTCGGAAGAAGAATAGTATCGAAACAATAGAGCATTCCGGAGACCATCGTCAACACATCATTTATTGCCTTGTATATTTATATAATTTTCTGCACACATTTTTGTACAATTTTGTGATTATTACTGGAATATTATCTAGCGCAGTTACCTCACGGTTTCTTTCTTCTTTTTGCAGTCTGTTCTGTGACTGTGACCATCATTTTTGAGCCCTTGAGTTACACTGAATCACACCATGTGTCCATTACAGTCAGTATTATCCATTTAAACGTTTGACCCGAAAATGGCCTCCGTGAGATCCTGAACTCATCTAAACGCTAAAACAAGTGACCGTTTAAATGTCGGTTTTCTAAACGCGGTGGCAGAGCTCTGCCTATGCGCGCACCGCCAACGCATTAAAAAAAATGGTGGACGAAAAGCGAAAGCCTCGGGCAGCTTTTGAGCGGGGGAGGGGGTTTAAACTGGAAG